CACTCCACGCAACTAAAAGCCTATTTGAAACATGGTACAGAGTCATAGAAGCCTTTTCGCGCCGATCCTTGAGCTACAGTTTCGATGTACTACCAGCTCTTGCCGGTCTTGCAACTATTTTTGCAGCCAATCACCATATCTTTTACCTGAATGGGATCTGGAAAGAAGACTTTACATCTGGTCTATTATAGGTCGTGTGTAGCAGTCGCAAGGACGAGTAGCCTGGCCCACAAGTACAAGATTCAGTGACCAGGCTGTCGCTCTGCTCGATCTCGTGGAGTTGGGTGTCTCAGTGGGGTGAGAACATCAAATTTGAACCCAATAAGAAAGGGAAGCAAACACATTTTCTTTACAGCGTCAAGATGGATGCTATTACCAGCGATGAGAACTCAGAGTATGTTCAACCGACTATGGACATGCAAAGTATAGTCAACAGGTCCTTGACACTGCATGGGCGCTGCATCGATCTTGAGATCGGCACGGTGTTGGTAACCAAAGAGAGAAAAATGTTATGGCAGAAGTCACGACATACCGCATTACATTACAACAATTATCTGGAGATGGACTGCAGTAATCGAGCTAGGTCAGTCGTTGAGTCAAAGCGGCAGACAGCTTATGGATGGCTGCTTCTCGACTCTAGTCTTGTCGACACTCCGACAAACACCATCAAATTTTGCTTGTGCAAGGTTTTGGATTCTGGAAATCGATCGAAAAATACAGAAGAGTCCCATTCCAGAATCTCGCAAGTCGGAAGCATGCTACACAAAAGTATCCCCCCCAATCCGAGATTACGCAAGGCGAAGGCACGCATAGAAGAATCGGCTCAGCGGCCAGGACCAGCGGAGAAAGTCCAAGCTTGCTTTACATTTCTTGGGCTGGCCTTAGTCCCAACGGATAGCGATGGACATTGCAGAAGGGTGGTGCTCTTGAAGACTTGCATCCATTTCGACGAGGAGATCACCAAAGTTTCAAACTTCGCTCCTTTGGAGCATTTACCACATCCTTGGCACCACGCCCAAGGAGAGACTTTCACGCTGGTATGACAAGGTCACAGGTACCAAAATTTGCCGTGAACAACCTATAAACTCATTATAAAGATGATTTATAGGTTTATGGCATCCCTTGATCTTATATATGCGAAGCTACGCTCCCCCAAAGCATTATGATGAGCACCCACAAGAGTATTGCCGTCAAGACACCAAAAACCACTCCACTTTCCACCTTGCACCACTTGGCCTCTTCGTCTCGCCAAAGAAGCAATTCAAGAACTCCTTCTATGCACTCCTCCCAAAGCTCCAGGATAGCAGCTGTAGAACCCGAAATAGCCTGGATTATAGAGGCGGGGCCTTCATTTAATACTACACGATTACGGGTCCCATCGTCGAAATGCGCCTCCACCCACTCAGCAAGCAGCGTCCAGAGATATACGTTCAATTCGCGCTGGAGCTGTTGGATACTTATCAGATGATGGTCCTGAGAGCGTAGTATGCGATGGAAGTACAAGCGCATGATTCTGAAGATATGGTCGATTGCAGCATAAGCAATCTCTTCTTCGTGGCCTGGGTAGTCGCAGTGCACAGCACGTACCAAATACTCATTATGCAGCGACAAAGATCTGACACGCTCTTGGAGGTGTGCAAGTATCTTGAGAACTTCGTTATAGTAAACATCAATCTCATGAAGCGGATCAGCGTTAGCGATCGAGTCTTCGATGGGGTTCATGACTAAATAGTCGAGATCCATTTCTGGTCGGTGCCAAGGCGTGACCGTCTTTTCCTCCTTGGGCTCACATTCTTCGGATTCACACTGGCATGCTAGAGAATCCAATCCTTTCATGCTTAAGTGCATGCAGACTCGGTGGCCGCAATGTAACGTACAGTGCGGCGCCAACGCTGGTACGCCCTGGCCTATAGTGAGCGGGTCCTGGAAGGCGGGAAATCGATGTATGTTGATGTCTTCGTTGATGCCATCGAACAAGGGAGATGGTTGTGCGACAGGAAGATGCAGATCTAAGAATGAGGCATTAATGTGGAATGACGGCTTGGGACGAACGGCTGTAGAAGTGATTGCGGAGGCGAAGTCAGTGTCTGTAGACTTCATTGTCGTGCTTGATCGTGGTTGCGCAATGGATCGCCCGGCTGCTACTTCGAGGGCGAAAGAAATACAAATAGCTTGATCAGAAATGTTTTTTTCTCGAGAAACGAGACATTGTGCAGACATGCAACCGCGGCCTCAGCGTTGTATGCAGGTTCGTCCCGCTATATATTGATAACAATAATGGCTGTACGATGAGGTTGTTACTCACCGAGTCACGGGCAAGGTTACTGCAAGTCGATATCATATTGGCTGACTGCGACGAGGTATATCCCGTCTTCTGGTCGATGTCACCGAACGTCAACTGTGCGATGACTGTGAAACGAGATGTCAAGCTCGGGACGCGTTGGTTCAACGCGCAGGAGATTAGGCTTGTTTAGGAAAGGTGCCAACAATGACGCAACGCGTTTTTGTCTCATCCCACTCTGGACGGTACCGCCTTGCATCCACAACGAAGTTCAACCCTCTCCCGCAATGCCACCGCTTTGAATCCTTACCACAAAACCATTAGTCGCATAATTCGACATGGCGCTTCCTCTAAGCATCTTCCTTGGCGGCTGCGTGGTCGCCATCCCTGTCGTTACTGGTGTCGCGCAAGGTGTCGAGCACCAAAAGAAGCAGAACGAAGAAGCCGCCAACGAGTCGCGCATGTGGAAGTTCAACTGCCTTGTAGCCTGCGATGATCCCGATCCGATCGCGAAAGAAGAAGTCAACAATGGCATCCTCGTTGTGCGCCACGATAAAGTCTGGGTTGTGCCGAGGGACGCGGATAACAAACCGATGTGGCCGGATGGGGTAGACGGTGAAGGACGGGAGCCGTTGCATCCATTTGCAGGTTTCTATATTGCATATCCGGACGAGGATCGCTGCCCCCCGGAAAGGGGACTGGTTAGCACCATCAGCGACGACCCGCCTATGCTGAACTGGATATACTGCGATAGAGAGACATATGAGCTACGCTACTCGAATCGCACGGGCAGTATCGTACATCATGTAGGTGTTTGGGACTGGACCGAAGACGAGACCCACCTGACATTCGACGGCTGGGAAGGCTTCATGGCTATCGACGAATGGGATGGTGCTGATGAAGATCCCGATACACCGTGGGGCAAAGAAGGACTACGCTGGGCAGTATACTTTGACAAAGACGACAACGGGCTCAAGGGGAGACATAAAGGAAGAGACATGTTCGAGATCAGTCTCAAGCGCCGGATACAGAGTGCCGAAGAGCAACTGAAGCAGAATGAAGCAGCGGAGAAGAAAATGCAAGTCAAAAGTAGAGGTGGTCTCAGTACTCAATTCGCTGCACCGCAGAAGGAGAGAGACAAAGAGTGGGAGAAGAAGTTTGGCGAGAAAGCGAGGCAGGAGTTGGAAAGGAAATTAGCGAAAGACAAAGAGGAAGGACAGGGACCAGAGTGGGCCAGAGGCGATGTTGGAAAAGAGAGCTGAGGAAGCACGAGAGACAAGATGTTCAATGCGCTGGACGACGGTGTTTGTCAATTTGGTGTACGCGATGATGCTCCTGAGCTCAACTAGCGCTGAAAGTTTGTCGTTTTGACTATTCACATATCGAATCGCGTTATAGTTGAGGAAGATTGATAGCAATCTACCACGCTAAGGGGCTATCGGCTGCTTTCGGACGCCTACGACTAATTGTCGTCCTTGGGCTCAGCCGGTTCAGACGCCTCCACTACCTGCAGTTAGTCTTGTCAAACCATCGACAGGATGCTCTCACTACCTGGCATCAAGCTGGTCACGGTTATATACTGCACACTCGTCCCCGTCATGCGAGATAGACAGCTCAGCAGAGGATCGCGTTCAGGAGAAGAAAGTTTGGCACGTGGCTCAAGAGGTGTGGCCTAGGCGACCTTCGCAGCACCCTTGTATCGAATCGACATCTGTTACTGCAGCCTGCGATCGACGCCTCCCACACACACCCTAATAGTTTGTACAACGCACAAGACCTTTCCATGAATTAGGCATGTCTATTTGTCAGGCCACGCGAGAGTACTATACGTCAAGGATCACCGAAGTGGAAAATCATTCTGGAGGTTATGACAAATGAATTAGCATGAGTCTTCATGGTACGCTTGAGGTAAAGACAAAACGGCTTCGGAAGGAAAACACTATTCGAGTTACGCGCTCCGCTCATGACTACGGCAGACCGATCGGCAATGGCCCTAGTGACTTCGAGAAGTTCCTTACTCCCTTTCTTCCACTTGCGAAGCATGGTTCCATAATCAACTTACGCAACTTTCCTTGTCTCCTCTTCTTATACCATAGGGTAAAAGGAGGTTTGAAGATTCCAAACTGCGTAGCCAGACCAGCTGCCCATACAGTCTCCTATACCTGATATGAGCGATCAACTAAATTGTCGAAGCGTGGGCGCTGAGCAGGTGGGCATGAATCTTTGTCGAGTTGTGCATCTCTGGCAGTGCGCTTCAGTGCTTGAGAGGAACTCGGAACATCGCCAGGGTGAAGATAGCAAACACCTGCGTAGTTTGAGCGGGATGTGTGGCTGGCATTGTACAAATTGCCACTGACATGGTGGTTGCTTTCGTGCCGTCCTGTGACAATATTACCTCGCTCAGAGTTGCCATGAATTCCGCTCCAGTGGGAGTCTCCGTAAGGAGCTGTTCTATCATTGACAGAACAAATATGAGTATGGTATGTATCGCTTGTGGGCGCAGATGAAGGGGAATGAACAGAGACTGGTATATCCTGGCGAGCATCTTCAGTGTGCGCTTGGCCCACTGCGATGTCCAAACTCGAAACCTCTGAGCTAATATACTCGGCGGTGTTCACCGGCATTGACTGTACCTTTTTGTTGGCTACACTGTTCTTGTCCTTCCAAACCGGTCGTCCTTCCTTGATGAATTCTTGACGCTTACTGTTTTGTACACAGTTTACGATGGTGCCTGAGCATCGCTGGGCTGGCGATGCAACTGTAGTTTCAATAGGTACTTGGACAATCGTAACAGCGCACTGAGATGACTCATACGTTGTCCAAAGGTGAGATAGCGTGATTTTCGGGCCATTGCAAGCGCCAGCTTGTCATAGATCGGAAGCGACGCTGGACCATCGATGTGCAAACGTTCAGCGACATCAACAAGCTGCCAACAGACCTTCTCCATATGTGTTGAATGTGGGGCGTTAATAGCATTAGCAGTCCAGCGGCTCATGAACGCGGGTGTCTCGCGCTTGTCTGAGCATGCCGAAGTATCTTTCATTGCGTCCAACAGTTCGGCAACATGTGTAGCTCGTTCTTCATCGTTAGTCGGAATCGTACTGTCACCAATTGGCGCGAACCAGGCTTTATCGAGACGGCGGGAAAGCATGGCTTTCTTCGCCTCCGCAAGACTACGGAATGCCAACTCACAGGTACCACCTCGCGCTGAAGCATTTTCAGTAGTCTGAGTGCGTTCATACGGATTGAGCGTTGCATACCCTCGATAACCTTGAGCGCGCGCATCGGATGCGTTTTTCTGGGCACCCACAAAGCTGGTAGGCTTTTGGAATAACTGATAAGGCGGATCTGGTATGTATGGGACACGCTGCGCTACAAGTTGCTCAAGTGTTCGTTCAGTCCTTTGGGTAGCGTTATGTTGATGTTGAACGTTGTTGTTTCCGTATCCAAAAACGTCATCCAGATCACTGCCTTCTGTTCTTGGGGCCCAGTCTTCGGGAAAGGTGAACATGGTGATGCCACTATCAGAATTCCATTGTGCGCTTCCGTCGTTCGATGCTGTTTGATGTTGAGCTTCAAAATCGTATTGGTTTCCAGGAAATTCTAGGCCAAAGTCCTTGTTAATGGCAGAGTTCTCGACCGGAGGGTAGTCCTGAGACATGCTGTAGTTAGTGGTGTCACCTGACTTCGATTGAGTCATGCCCAAGTGATAACAGAAGTAGTGGTCGTGGTTTACGGAGGTGCTGGTTCTTGGAGACTCTTGGATGGTTGGGAGATGCTTTGAATGTTCGCGAACAAATCAAACGCTAGTCGGATCAGGACAATTGTAGACAGTGCCTAGTTGAGAGACTGGAAGGTTGTGGTCTGATGGCCATCGAGGTGGAAGAGTCCATTGTTGTCCCATATGCGTCGTGGTGCTTCTCGTCCAGTGAATCCATAGTCTTCGTTAAAGTTTATAGATGGAAAATCCATGCGCCGTGTACAAACGATTACCAGGAAAGCAGAGATATTCTAGCAACAGCGATTCGCGGATGTCTTAGTTCTTAGCCAACGTCGAACTGGAGATAGAAAACAAGTCTCGTCTGGGTCAAGTGTAGTAGGGCGTATTGTAAGATGGTTTTTCAACATTTCGCTAGCATTGTCTGCGCGCCCGAGTCGCCATCATTGCAAAACGGTAGTCTTGCTAAGCTATCAAGCACCTAATTGAAGGTGGACTGTTGGTACGGACAATCTCCTAGTGATCCGTTCCTTCTAGCTACAGCGTCGTGCAAAAGATTTTCGACACCAGGAGGGAGTTAATTAGGAAACAAAATGTGCATGTAAGATTTCTATTGAGGTTCGTTGTGTAATACGCGATCGATAATGATTTAAAATACTAGGGTAGAGCTACATTGTCGCTAAAATACGTGTATGAAGCATACAGAACACTGGCAGGTACTAGAAGAAATACAGGTCTGCAGCAGCGATGCGGACCTCTGTCTACTCATTCACTTCACATTGCCCCCTACTTTCACTGCCGTATAATCTATGCAGCAGGCTTCCTTGGTTCTAACTTGCGCGGTGCCTTCTTCGGAGCAGATGGTTGACTTGCACCACCACTCTTCTGTGTGTTACTCCCCTGCTGACCCAACTTTCTCGGCTTTCTTTTTTCTTTTGAGGTAGTGGCTGGGACATTGTTTTCTTTATTATCGCTTAAGGACACACGCTTTGGTTGACTGGAGCTATTGGCGGGCTTGCTCGTTGAGTTCGATTTCTGTGACGAGGTCTTTGACTGACTTGTGGTCTGTTGTGCACTCGGTGCCTGATTCTGCTGAGACGATTGGGGATTAGCAGGCCCTCGGGTGGTAGGCGGCCGCTGAGAACGAGGTTTGGGTGCTTCCTTTGGTGGTTCACCGGATGGTGGTTTCTCTTGCTTCGGCAGTTGTGGGTTGTTTGTCTTTGGTTGTTGTGGCTTTGTTTGAGAATTTTTCTGAGGCTGGGTCGATTGTTTGGGCTGACTCGGAGCCTGTTGAGCCTGCTTTTGAGGCTGTTGCTTCGGTTGTGATGAGCTCTGCTGCTGCGGCTGTTGTTGCTGTTGACTCTGTCCTCCCCATGGATTCATCGCGGCACCTATTCCACCCAGTCCCAATGCACCCCCCATACCCTTAGCTGATGGTATGCTCGGCATGCTCGGCCTCCAGGCTGTCATATCTTTGGCCGACTGAGACCAAGACTGCGGCATCTGGTCTGGTGCGTCGTTCTTCATTTGCTCCAGCTCCTCTTTGGATGGCGCTCGGGTTTCCTTTGTTTGCATGATCATCTTCTCCAAAGCCTTCTTCTGCGATGGAGTTGACTTGATGTCCGGAAGGAAGTCTCCGACGACTCCCTGAACACCTTGACTTGCCATCTCACCAAGGTCCCACATGGGACCGTTCATCGCCCCGTAAACGGACCCGATGCCACCTCCAAGCAGTCCTGTCACTGTAGATATTGTGCCACCAACCAGGGCACCAGTCAATTTTCCGATGGTGACACCCGGCTGCACTCCCAATCCGGCACCAGCTGCAAGACCCTGGAAAGCGCCCGACTGCGTGTACTTCGCCGCTTTTCCAAAAGACTCTGCCTCGATCTCCTTATTGATTGCTTTCGCCAAAATCTCTTCTCTTGCCTTTGCGTCGCCCGCTCCATGCGCAGCTTGCCTCAACTCCCACGCCTTCTGACCCGCCTGGAGCGCCATGCTCGCTGATACGCCGGCGTTCTGTTTGATCTCATGGTCTGGAATGCCACCTTGTTGGCCACCGGCGCTGTTGTTAGCCATATTCTGGCTTGGTGGATTTGCGGCGTTTGGTTTTGATTTCTGCTGTGCTTGTTTTGGTGGCATCTTTTCGTCCAGGTGTAATTCTGGTAATGTTATGGCAAGGGTCCAGACAGAAGGCTGGGTCAATGGGTTAGTGCTAGTGTGACAGCTCAAGTGCGAATATGCTACGTCATTCAGATCGTCGAGATCGTCGTGGTCGTACGCGACCCGTGTGGCTGAATGACAACCTGTTTTGACCCGAGTACACGAGACGTAGTCTTTACAACATGTAGGGTTATCCCTTCTAGGTCCGGTCAATACCTCAATAACAAGACCGATGGGCTGCCACTCAGTGGTTCTTGTCTCAGTGACAGCGAGCCATGACGTCAGCGGTTCGACGCCAGGGTCTCTGGTTTCCCACAATCCGGTATGCACTACGCTACAAATTGCACCGCATCTTTTAACAGCGACTTACGTCTGTATGTTTTTGGCCGAGCTTTTAGCTATCGGACGCTTAACATAGTGTCGAGCATGTCACCTTGTTCGCCAGTTACCCGCTTGAGACTCGTCCCGTAACTAGACCCATTTATCCTGTATGTAGCTCGGGACATTCTGATAGTCTGAGACCAAAGACTTGAACATAAGTATTCTTTAGCGCACTCATCGGTCACCACGACGGCCGCGATATGTATCGTTGCATCGTAGTTCTTGGTGTCTTCGTTCTTGCGGATCCATAAGTAATATGAGTCGTGTACTTACAGCCTTCTTCAACTCATCCTTTACACAATGCTAGGATAGTGTATATTCAGGAACAATGCCTCATTCACTTCACTCCTCACACTTTTCGCATGTTGAGGAATATCGACGAGTTGGAGGCATAGGTCGTCTTGCCATCTTTTTTGAGTAATGTGTCGAGCTCTTCGACCCATTTTAGGCGTCAATAACATGCGATCCATACCCTCTGGTGGTTGTCGTTACGGATGCTCACCCACTTAAACACAGATATGTTGTGAGTGATGCTCTCACCATGTAGGCAGTCTTTTGGGATACTGCTGATTTCTGGAGACGATGACTGATCTAGCGTTTATGTAGTATGCTTATGACAATATACTGTGTTCACGACTGTGTGATCGCATATCAAGCACAGTGAAAAGAAAGGTCACAGTTGAATAGCGTCCATGCGAAGACATCGTGTTAGCTCCGAAAGTACTGATACTATCGTCAATGGCCTCATCGTCCCAACCTTCCACGCTTTCCTTCACTTCCCGATGAAATCTTATATTCTCAGTCAACAAGATAATGGCGTCTCTCATCAATTCGCTGATTCTACGTAAAGCTCCAGTTCGGTTCTGCCCTCCAGATCCGAGATACTTCAGATCTGCTAAGAGAAAGTACAGCGCCTTGATCTAATCTGATCTACGACCATAGCAGCGGAGACACGCTTGAGTTCTTCGCGCGTGAGGATGACCGCTAGACCGACTCTTGTTCATGTACAGAAAATCATACATGGCCCATTCTGGAACATCTTAAAGCAGATGGCTGTGCTCTCAAGAGCCAGGTTCCAATGTTTCGCCATGCTATTAAGACGAGCTATCGTTTCGGAAAGAGCTTCGTGATTGTGAGACATACTATGTCGACGTTCGGCATGACCAGGAATCCCCGATTCAGGGGCTATTACAGACAGATCCAACTCATAGTATCTCATGTGTCTGTCTTGGAACAAACCGTACGCGTTTCCTTCCAATTGGAACACGCGTGGAGCAGGAAATTCTTTTACTATCAAGTGTTGATGTAATTCTTGGAATGATAATTGGTGGGATTCATCCACGTCAGCAGTGAAGCTCGAACAAATGTCTATCGCCTGATGTTTGCGGTGTGAGCCGGTAGGTAGCGGGGATCCGGTATCCAGAGGCCGCGCAGCTGGCATCTGTATGCCGAATGTACGTGGCTTGAGCAAACGGCTAATGTTTGATAGATAGATGAGCGGATGCAGCAGGCCTGTCCTGTCATCAGGAATGATAGCTTACTGGTCTGTGCGAATCGATAATAATAGCCTGTGGAAACGGCGGACGCGATTTGAAGCCAACTATGATGTAGTTTCTTTTGCGACACGTCGTTTTCTGTGAGACGCCATAAACATATAAAATTCACCACGCGCTGCCGCTAACGTGTAGTCAACCGTCGTCGCCCGCCACCATGGACCCTCTCCTCGCCGCTGCGGATGCCGCCGCCGCAGCCTCAGACGCGACACGTACCCCACCTAGCTCCCCGCCATGCGCCGAAACGCCTCCAGCGAGCCGTCTGTGGGGTATCAGCGATATACACCTCTCTTTCAAGGGCAACCGCGAAGCTCTCGAGAAGCTCCTCCCGCACCCGCACGATGACCTGATACTATGCGGCGATGTCGGCGAGTCCGCAGAGCATTGCCGCATAGCCTTCACCAAGGTCAAGGAATGCTTTCGCCAGGTCTTCTGGGTGCCAGGGAACCATGAGCTATATACGCTGCCCTCGGAGAAAGACCACGGCGCGAGAGGCGAGGCGAAATACATGGAGTGCGTCGCCATTGCACGCGAGTATGGCATTATCACACCTGAGGATGGATACACTTTGTGGAAGGGCGAGGGAGGTCCATGTCTCATTGCACCCATCTTCACCTTGTATGATTACTCCTTCCGACCCAGTAATGTGAAGCTAGAAGATGCTCTCGACTGGGCGAGGGAGGAAGACATAGAAGCGACAGACGAGCACCTGCTGCATCCGGATCCCTACTCGTCGCGTATCGAATGGTGTAACGCTCTCCTCGACAAGACAGAGAAGAAGCTCGCGGCTGCCGTCGCAGCGCACCCAGATATCCCACTGATCATAGCAGGCCATTGGCCGCTCCGGGAAGACCTGGTGAAACTCTTCAGAGTCCCACGCTTCTCACTGTGGTGCGGCACCAAGAAGACGGAAGACTGGCACAACAAATACAACGCGAAAATTGTCGTCTCTGGCCATCTGCACATCAGGAGAACAGACTGGATAGACGATACGCGCTTTGAAGAGGTCAGTCTGGGATACCCAAGACAGTGGCATGATTGTCAGGAGCGAGGTCTGGACATTAACGACATGCTCCGCGAGCTAATGCCAGGCCCCGACACACCACCAAAAGATCAGCGAAATACTGTCTGGAGACAGTTCGGATGATTGACTGCGTCGCGGAATATGATCACCCATTTTTCCGTTCGATAACCGCCATCATGCATTGTGTCCTCCAGTGACTGTAGGTATGTTTAATGCTCCAACCAGCCCATGCCAATGCGTCACTATCTCCGTGTCTGCTACCATAAACCTGATGCATTTCTTGTTTTGTTTCTACTTGCTCCCACACGTTATGTTCACCTCCCCTGCACCTGCCTGATATGGTCTCGGCTTAGCCTCGGCCACGGACCAATTGTTCGGTCACGATCAACCACGCGATTTTTTCCCATTCGTCAGCAATGCACCATCCTGGCCCTCAATCTGTTCGATCGACATCTTGCGTTACCGTCCGCAGATGTTTCCCCCGAGCGTAGACATGCACGTCTTGAGTCGTCTCATGCCGGACGCCGGTGTGCTGCAGGTACCCCAGTGACAACGTCGGCAACATTGCTATGTATCCAAGGTAGCGTAACGAACGGCCAATGGTTACTAGTATATTAGGGCATGTGCGCTGCACACGCGCTGTCCACGGTCCTCAGCACTTCGCCTTTGCGTTAGTCTCATCGTGAACTTCCTCATTGAGACCTCGGGAGATATAGAGGGGAAAACACGATTACTCGCTGAGCAAGACACCGGAAAGAGCCGAAGACAACTCGAATCACTTCCTATAAAACCCATTGTACCCGACATATCACGAAGAACAAGCCAACTCATTACCGGCTCAAGGACGTTCGTCACTCGCTAGACAGTTACCTTGACATTCGCTTCTACGCTCGTTCACTTTACAGTCAAGATCAAGATGCTCAACTTCGCCCTTCAGCTCCTCGCAGCCGCGAGTGTCGTTCTCGCGTCACCTGTCAATCTCCAAAGCCGTGCTGTCATCAATCATGATGCTGTTGTTGGCTTCCCCGAAACTGTCCCCTCTGGTATCGTAGGCCAGCTCATGCTGAAGTACAAACCCTTCCTAAAGGTCGAGAATGGCTGCGTTCCTTTCCCTGCTGTCAATGCCGCAGGTGACACTGGGTAAGTTCTCGTACACGCATCTATACAACTGTAGGCTAACAGTTCACGACAGCGGCGGCCTGGCCACCTCTGGCGACCCCTCAGGAATGTGCAGCTCTAGCCCCGGCCAAGTCTACGCCCGCGCCGGCGCCCACAACGGCGCCTACGCCATCATGTACTCGTGGTACATGCCCAAAGACAGCCCTGGCCCTGGTCTCGGCCACCGCCACGATTGGGAGAACATTGTGGTATGGCTGTCAGCTCAATCCACCACCGCCACTATCCGCGGCGTCGCCATCTCTGCTCATGGTGACTACCAAAAGGTTACTAAGCCGAACCTTGACGGTACTCGTCCCCTCATTGGTTACAGGTCCATTTTCCCTGTCAACCATCAGCTTATTTCTACAACCACAAAGGGTGGAGAGCAGCCGGTGATTGCGTGGGATAGCATGCCTGCCGCGGCGAAGAGTGCGATTGAGAACACAGACTTTGGTGACGCGACACCATCCTTCCGGAACAGCAACTTCGAATCCTACCTCACTGATGCTTTCATTTAGAGTAGTCAAATGTAATCAGCAACATAATTATGGAGTGTATACAGGAGCATTTTATATAGTACCTTATCAATTCATACATTCTCCCATGTCATTGAATGTTCTTGAATAGTTATCTCATCAGAAGACCCAGCGGCCAATTTCACAATGGTGGTCAGGTACCATGTCCTGTCGTGCATCACAACTCAAGTGACATTGTATGCCTGCGGCGTCTCTGCAATAGACCCGTCGAACCCCCTACGGAAAGATCCTCTCGAATACGAGATTCCCCAATCATAGAATGCTAGACGTAAAGCTCTTGCCAGTGCTTCGCTTCAGTTTCCGAACCGTAAATATATGTCTTCACGT